TGGAGCTGCTGGTGGAGCTGCTGGTGGAGCTGCTGGTGGAGCTGCCGGTGGAGCTGCCGGTGGTGACATTGGCACAGGCGAGAGTAGTTGAGGTGGAGCTGCAGCTGCAGGAGGTGAGTAGTCAGGTGGAGGCATCACATAACCTGTAAAAGTCAATTTTTTGTTTGAGGTGTTGTCACTTTATAGTTAAGAATTCCTATTCTTAGTCTAGCGAAAGCATTACGACAAACCTCCCCCTCCTCCTCCGCCGCCTCCTCCGCCGCCGCCACCGCCGCCGCTACCGCCTCCGCCGCCTCCGGAACTAGCATATTGCCTGGAATCAAAAGTTTCAAATAGTTGTATGCGTGATTTTTTGATTCTTTTTAACAGGAAGGAAATGAAGACAAACTACAAAAACAGCTACTGAATGTTGAGTAATAGCAAGAGCTTAAATTGAGTCGACTCACCCATATGCTGTGGCAATGAGTGCCACAAGCCAGATACTTCGCATATTTTGCGAATGTATGTGGTGAATACTCATTGCAATGGCAACACTTTTATACTCAGTCGGCTGGAGGTCATCGCTTAAAAAGTTCGATTCTCGAAAGTGAACGCCTAGATGTCTAGATAAGCGTTGAAAAGTGTTCGGGTGTTACAATCTCTGACTGACCCTGACGCGTCTTTTTGTCTAGGACTATTGTTAATAATGGGCCCATCATTTTTGTCGTAGTTTTCACTTCATGTACCAAGATTCCGAACAATCGGGAATGAAAGAAGGCTTTGTCAATCATGTGCTCGGTTCTGGCTGAAAAACTTCCTATAAAACATTCAATACAATCGGCTCTAAGAGCTCCAGTATCGGTGGCATAGCAGGAAGGGACATTTACTCGGCTGAAAACCTGCCCTAATACTCTGGAATTACTTTCAAGCACATCCTTTAAGACTCGCCCAACATACCAAGATGGGCAGTGCAAAGGGTAAAGGGCCTCTGTCAGCAGCTTTTCGATGTACCACATTGGTGTGGACAAAAACGGATTATATAGGAAGCCCCATTTCGCAAATGTCTTCTTCTGAAGCAAACTTAACTGCAACTTTTTAGAATTTGGCGTGATGAACCGCGCAGAGTACAGAGTAACAGCCGCTCTACTTATCAGATACGTAGTCCGTTGGAATTCATGGTCCCGATGGAATCAATTATTGGTTTCATTCGCTAAGTATGCCGAGAGAGGTGAGTTTTATTTTGAAGTAAGCAGTTTCTGTAACTTTCCATTTCGGACGCCTACATCCGTTGAGAAAACGCTCTACACATCACTTGGACATAGTGGATACGCTACTCTACTGTGGTCCAAAATGGCCGAAAGAAGGAAGCTGCTCTAAAAGTTTTAGTCATCTTAACATCTGATTAGAGCCTAATTGATCGATGTGGTCGATCAATCGCTGTAGTATTCTACCGGACCCTTCCCAGTCCGGCTTCTACTGATCGCCAAAGCACACCCAAGCACTTTATTGAGAAGAAGAACTGCCAGGATGTCATCCATCTGCGTCAAGAGTCACAGAATGGGAAGCTCTCCGAGAGCGCCTTTTTTATGAATATAAACCTTTTACCAACTGGTCTGCCTAGTCGACAACTCGGTTGCCATCTCGAGCCCGGTGACTTCATATAATTTCTTAGTCTAGTGAGGGTCGGTTCAAAGAATGGACAAACACAACGCTCGCTTTGCCGAGTCCAGTACATCCAGCTCCAATACGTGTACTCGTCCTACAATTTTTCTTTGACGTAATTTATGTACTCAAGAGAAAGATGCCATAGAAAACTCTCAGCTGTCTAATCAGCGGATGGCGAACGGTTTCATTCTCCGAATCATTTTCCTGCCATTCGCATCATCTGTGATTTATCACAATGTCTTGTTGATCAGCGGTGTCAGGCACCGCCAATGCATCGTCATCGGCATCAAAAAATCCCTTTTCGCGTAGTTAATGGCGTAGTAGCGGTCACTAACCCATTATCTTATCAGTCGGTTCAAACATAAAATTTATACCCTCCTATCATGGTCATTTTGATTTTTATTTCATCGGTTACGGTTGTTACCCACTACTGTAATTGATCCTCAATGAGCTTTCAATGAGCTTTTTCAGAATGACGAAATTCTCGAAATTTATTTTCCGGAATGCGCCTCGCATTCGGTTTCTACTCACATTCGTGAAGGCGTTTTTGAAACGCATACGATCTATGGAGCTTAGCCCTTTTCTCTCCCCTAAGAATAGGACTTGATGGGTGCTCGGTTGGTCTAGAGTGCACCGCCCAGAACACACCTCCGCTCTATCAGAATCCAAGATTGCCGGAATCGCTCTACTACAACTCAACCGAAAAGTTTTATATTCCTTCATTCTCTGCGGAAGAGCGTAGTAAGAAGTAAGACGTTTTCGAATGCCTATTTTTCTGCAAAAAATGCCTACGATTGCGTTTCTCTAACTAAGTTCGATTCCATTATTTTCCTGCCAATGGGTCCGTACAGCGAGGAAATGAAAATCTTTGCCCTTATTACGCCTGAAACTGCAGTCATCACGCTGAATCACAGATATAGCTGTCTTCGGTTCGTCTATACCAGGTCGGTCAGTCGTGCCAGGGCCCTTAATACCATGGACAATGAGGATTACATGTCTCGATCACGGGTTCGAGGAGAAGGCAAATAGGTGCGCCTATTAAAGAATACCAAATGACTGAATCGTCTTGGACAACCTCCAGAGGAAGGGGTATTTGGACGAGATTTCAGGCAATCGCATGACGAGCTAAAAAATTTCCCAAGTTGCCCTCCGCTGCCGGTACGGGTTACGAAAGCTGTCAGAAGTTCCTTGACATAGGGCGCCCTCTACAACGCCGGAAAACTCGTCCTTTGTCCTTTGTGGGTGTGGCATGCAGTAAATACACCCTGAGTAGGACGTTTTCCGACCACATATTGTACATAGGAGGGAGAAGGAGTGCGAGAGAGCAGTTTTTTATGAACGGGATCTCTCCTATGGGAACCGTTCCTTAAGTCTACTGAACCGAGTTTTGTCTTTCTTCCAGCCAAATTTCATGTGGGTGCGAGAAGACCGAAACCATATGGTATCGAGTAATCTTTGAACGCCGCCTACCGCGGTATCTTACACATAACTGATACTCTGTCACTATACTGAGCGCGATACTCAGAACTGTCACCTCAACCTTGAGCTACCAGCTACATTTCAGTTTTGTAGTGGTAGTTTTGAACCGAAAGTCTCGTTCAACATTTCGAAAGTGACGAGAAAATGATATGAATCTTTCAGTCAGAGAAAGGAACGCGAGAATTTCGCTTTTACTCTCTCAGGGGTCAGAGACCTTGGGAAGCCGCCTTTTATTGAAACCATACTCGCATTTTTAGCTGCTTTTTTTTTACTCATTTCATGGAAGAGTTTGTTAGAAACACCCCCTACTTTTACTCAATCGGTAGTTCTGTTAAATTAGTCAAAAAGTAACTTGAATTCATACCTAGCCACGAACAGATGTCAAGCTTCATCTACACCGTCCGGGAGAAGTTCTTAGCAATCTGGGGTGACAGCTCCTCATTCGTTCTCCTACTAGTTCCTGTCCGTCCTTCGTGTCTTCCAGCTAATACTACTGACTAATGAGAACAACCTGGGCTCAGAGCTGCTCACTGACCACTCTCTGACCTATCGCCATCCGACTTCCAGTTCGTCCAACCAGTGAAGCACTTCCTGGGCAGACAAAAGAGGGTCTATCGATAAAACGGTCTAGAGCTAACACTTCTGTAAAAATGGTTGAATTCTAGTCAACATGGACAGTGACCTTCTTCACAACGGATTCTACCCTGGCCCACGGGCTCATTATAAGGAGTGTGTTCAGTTGAATAAGTTCAAGTTAGGTACGTTGAATATGTTTACGGCTTTATATTCACAGTAACAAAAATGGCAATGGGAACACGACTCCTACAGTAGTCAGGCTACGGGTGCTGGCTCGAATGCCTGTTTGTGGTGCAATGCAACCATGTGGCTGCCTCAATATGAATTCAAAGAAGGTTATGCCGTGGAATAAACTGTACCCTGCGCGAAGTTCTGCGTCCACTGTAATTTATCCTACAGTTGGGCCATCCTGGTGACCNATGTGAATCAAAGAAGGTTATGCCGTGGAATAAACTGTACCCTGCGCGAAGTTCTGCGTCCACTGTAATTTATCCTACAGTTGGGCCATCCTGGTGACCGTAACTTACCTCCTACTTGGTTTTGGGATTTGCACTACGGAGTGCTCACAGACGAACACTCAGTGAACGCTTTACATAGCTATCTCAGAGACAGCACTGTCCAGAAAGTTATGCGACGGAATTCCTTTGTGTAGAGAAATGCGTGGAATGATCGAAGGTCATCTACGCAGCTGAATGCCACACTCATAACTAAAAGGGAAAAGGAGACCTAGACATTGATGCAGTTTTTCGATTCCACCTACTAGTATTTGAAGAACCCAAGTTCATTTCTCACACTGTATGTTCTGTAGAGAGCAGTACCAATCAGGACGAGCTCCCGAAGGCAGTAGTTGTGCGGGTTGCCAGATAAGGAAGGTTGGGGGTAAGGAGCTCAAAGTCACAGTTCACGATAATACGGAGGCATCTAGTTTGAGCACAATAGAAGGTTACGGCGCAGAATAGCGCGGAGATTGCAAAGAAGACCCTAGTGGAAAGCTTCGGGGAACCTTTTGCCATCGTAGACTGCTCATGGGTTTGAGCGATGCGTGATTCAAAACAGGAGATTCTTAGGTCTTCTTCAGAGCCTGACAAGACGCTTTGTTGAACGGCGACTTAGTTAGGGATCTTCATCAACCGTAAAGAATTCCGGTAGGTGAAGCAGAAATTGAGAGTAGCTCATGAAGGAAGCCATTTTTCAATTTCTATTTTCTATCCACTAGTCGGTTTGAATATGATTTATGGAAGTTTCTCGACAGGCACCTTCTATGGCCGGAATCCCAGCACAGTCCACTTGCAGACAGGTATTCTCACTCGTCTGCTCTGTAACCTTGGTATGAAGGCTGTGAGTGGTCGTGGTCGTGATCAAGAATCATACAATGCATGTCATACGATGTCTGGTTCTTTCCTCTTCTCTGTTTCATCCAAGAGATGTTCTCCCAGTCAGCAGGTCATCTTTACCCTGTGGAGGTCCTCGGGTATAGACAGTAAGGCCCCAAATTCGACATTTTCTCTCAAAAAAGGCGAAGACGGCTCATTACTGCTTTTTGTACCTTGCGATAATGCGTTTAGTGTTAGACGTGCGTTGTGGGATCAGCGGTAGGTGTGAGAGGCTTGGGTCGTTTTCGTTCGAGTAATGAGTAGGAAGTTATGAAAAAGACTCCGAGGATTGAGGAGAGGGTAAAGAATAGAGGTGGGATCCCGAATAATCTTCAGCTTAAGTGAGTAGTCTCGCAGCTGAGCATACATTCCAATACACACAAAATGGTCCTGCCATTTTTATTGGGGTCAAATTCAAAAATAGCCTTCCAAGGTCAGAAATAGGACATGGAACCAGTAATGATGATGATTTAGGCTTATACCCATACGCTACTGTAAGTCCGATCAACTAATGGTAAGTTATTCTCATTTCTGTTGAGCCCATATAGTCCTTCCCCTAGACTATCTTCGAAACTTCACCTGTCTAGCATGCTCTCCGTTGGAAGCTTATTCAGGAAGTTAAGATTAAGCGGCGTGTTCCTGATTATTTGAAATAAATATAAATAATTTGTACATGTCCAAGTCGTTCCTTGAACCATTAAGCATTATTCCGGGCTCACTCCTAAGGTTCCATGCAGTAGTGGAAATCCTGTAAGTCAAGAAGCTCTATATGCACCATGAATCGAAATATCTGTATCGGCATGTTCGGGTGTGGATTTTATGGATACGATTCGTGGAGGGTTTGGTTTTGCATTCACAGGTGTGCATAGGTATAAAGGAAGAGTAACTTGGCGAAACGGAGAACCTTTTTTGGAAGGAATTTAACTGGACGATCAGAGTGAGTACCCTCCATGTCTTGATTCCGCTACCCTTCCTGTTGGTCAAAAGGAAATCGTCGAAAGATAGCTCTTCATGTGACCACAGGCTAAAGCGCTTAGTAACGTTTCGCTTCAAATTGCTCGATTCAAGTACAAATGGTAAGAAAGTTTTATTGATACTCGTAGATACTCGCTATAAGCTTCTGCTGTAATAGTTTGTACAGATGGTGACTAAGCCCTGCTAAAGTGCTTCCTCCTCATCGACATATGCTTTGTCTTGAATACGCGTTGTCTGTATCCTCCACCACTGGCATATCCTCCGGCTGAAAAATTCATTCTTGTACAGTAGTTGTAATGAAATATTTTATATTACGAATTCTAAATTCTAGGCTTTAAAGTATCACTTACATGATGGTGGACCAACTGGTGGTGGCTCGACTGGTGGTGGTCCAACTGGGGGTGGTCCGACTGGTGGTGGTCCAGCAGCATATCCGCTGCCGCCGCCACCGCCACCGCCGCCGCCTCCTCCGCCCATGTAGCTGCCTCCGCCGCCGCAACTGGCGCCACTGCATGGTGGAGGTGGTGGTGGTGGTGGGGGTGGTGGGGGTGGTGGTGGAGGAGGAGGTGGAGCTTGTCCATATCCCCCGCCACCGCCGCCGCCTCCGCCGCCACCTCCTCCGCCCATGTAGCTGCCTCCGCCGCCACCTCCTCCTCCTCCACCGCCGCCTCCACCTCCACCCATATAGCTGCCTCCACCACCGCCGCCGCAACTGCCATCACTACAGGGTGGAGGTGGTGCAACAGGGGCGGGCGGGTTGTATGGTGGAGGAGCTACTGCATATCCTCCGCCTCCTCCACCTCCTCCTCCGCCTCCATAGCCGCCTCCACCACCGCCTCCGTAGCCGCCACCGCTACTGCCACCGCCTCCGTAGCCGCCTCCGAACATGCCTCCAGCAGAGGCATATTGGCTGAAACACATGCTAAAAAATAATCAAGCCTTTTGAGAGTGGTCACTGTGAAAAAAAACTTAGGCTTCAATTGAGTCGACTCACCCACAAGCTGCGGCAACAAATGCCACTAGCGCGATACTACGCATGTTTTGCAAACGTATGGAGAGTGAATACCCATTGGGACAGCAACGGTTTTATACTCATTTCGGTGGGGGTCATTCACGTAGAAAGTTCGATTCTCGAACATAAACGCCTAATTGTCTAGACATGCCTTCGATGTTACAACCGGTTGATTGGCCTTGGCGCATGCTTCTTTGGAAGACTATTGTTGGTCGTAGATCAGTCTTTTTATCGTACTTTTTATTACTGGTATCGTACACAAGCTGAAAGCAACGCTATGGGAAGAGAATGGACATTACTATAAAACGCTTCACTTAGCAGATTTGGCATCACATGCTTCCAAATCGGTGACTCACTCGAAAGGGACATCACCTGGTTCATCAGCAAACGACTGGACTCCACTTTCGCACGCGAAAACCACCTTTTTTTTTCAGGAAAAATCTTCTTGGGAATCGTCCAACATAACTAAAAGCAGCACAACGTTTCGAGAGCTGACGCATTCAGAACCTTATTCAATGTTTCCCATGGTCTACTTGTTGATACCTCCATCCACTTAGGGAAAAATGAAGGATCAAGTCCTGGGACGTTAATCAATCCCGTCCGAGGGATGCGCCCGCACACTTCCGCTCTCGACTTCTATTCCGAATCGTAGTGGCATAGTGAATGCGTAGGTGGCCTATACAATGACTTGCGGTGGCCAGCCGATGTACAAGGCAGTGGTTTTATCCTCCCAGACGAATATGGTACCAATTCACCGACCCAGGAGGGATGGAAGGCTTGGTTGGCCTAGACCGATATCGACCCNAACAGGGGCGGGCGGGTTGTATGGTGGAGGAGCTACTGCATATCCTCCGCCNATGTACAAGGCAGTGGTTTTATCCTCCCAGACGAATATGGTACCAATTCACCGACCCAGGAGGGATGGAAGGCTTGGTTGGCCTAGACCGATATCGACCCAGGATTTGAACCCGTGACCATGTGCGTGTAAAGTGTGCTGCTCACCTAGGAAACCAATGCTTTATCTACCGACGGAGTCATCACCACCTGTTAAGCTTGGGTGATTGCGCAAGTTGACGAATTCGGGATGAAACTGATTCACAGGTCATAGGAGTAATATTGCTCACCAGATACCTAACTTGCTAAAGTTTATGGGAACAGTGGAGTAAGTCATTGCTTCCGCAACTCAGACGCCCCGATGCTGAAATCGCCAGAGCTAGTAATTTGCGATCAAATTGCGCTTTGTCAGCATCCTATCCCGAAGTTTAGTTCTCTGGTTTCTAAGGTTTTTTTTTGCGGATAGCAATCCTCGCTTCGGTATCTCCTTCAGTTTTGTAAGTAACTATCACAGGAAACTCTCAGCTGACTCCCAGATTACTCTCCAAATCATTCTCCTACCAATCTTATCATTCACTGTTTATGGCAACGGCTGTTGATCAGTGATGCGGGTACCTCAACACATCGTAATCGCCATCGAAATTTCCTTTGTTCGTCGTTAATGGTGTAGTGGCGGTCACCAACCGATTAGCTTATCAGCCAACTCAAGCATCAAATTTATTCTACCCATCACTTTGACCTTTGTTTACCAGTTGCGCCGCACAATATTGCCAATAATCTTCTCAGTAGTCCCTTTCAGTACGGCGTACTTCCGAATAAAACCTGCTCCCTCTCACGCAACCGTGCAACCCTTTCGGGCTCCCCTCTGAAATCCAATATTTCCAGTCCATAACACTCGGTGAATACTGTGGGTGATACTTTGAACTGCCTCTTCAAACCTTCAAGCTTCACCAAAGTTTTGCAGCGGTAGTTTTGAACAGCAAGTCTCGTCCTACATTCCTAAGCTGAGGGGAACATGATATGAATTTTTCTAGAAAATGAAAAAAATTGAGAATGTCATTGTCGCTTTTTCAGGGATCAGTGGCCTTAGAAAGTCATCAGGTGCACAGACCACTTTTGTATGAAAAAAAGGTTCTTTTACGTGTTTTTTTCATTTCCTAGAAAGATTTATTAGGATTTATCCGTTGCTATTTTGAAAACCGGTACGTACTGGATCGGTTTGCTGTAGTTCTCTCGAAACATGTAGTCAAAAATACCTTGCTTACCTTCCTGACTATTGACGAATGGCAAGCCTTTTACTGTCCGACTGAAAAAAAACAACGAATGTTTTGGGCTGAGATCTGATCGTTCATCTTCAAACCATTTGTTTCCGTTCTCCATTTTTTCTAGTTTACTACTGCGAACTAAAAAGTAATCGAACAATCCAGGCTCTGAGCTGCTTTTTTTCCTGCCTGACCTATCGCGATCTGACTTTCAGTTCGTTCAGCTTCCGGGCGGTTCCTGATAGACAAAAGAAAGTCCACTGCTACAACGGCGATGACCTATACTTCTACTCATGTTCAGAGTGGTTTATTAGCTTTGATAAACTTGATTGTTTTTATGGCGAAAAAGGTGAACTTCCGCTACCCTAGGAGACATTAATGTGTTTAAGCTGAGGAGATGGAGGTTCGGTTGATCGCTCTGATGGGTTCTCTTACGACAAGTAAGCTCGTTTTGATGGGGGAGGCAAATGACTTGAATCCATGGTCATAACCATTTTTTGCCTGACCTTTTCGGGCAGTAAGCTTAGTCTTCTCTGTTTGTGAAGGTCAGTGAGTGGTCTCAATGAAGAGAACATTGACCAAAGTGTTGCGCGAAGGACTTCCTTTGTTTAGAGAAATGCCCGGAATAATCGAAGGTCATCTAAATGCGTAGCTGAGCGACACACTCATTACTAGAGGGTAAATATAGACTCGAAAGCTAATGCAGTTTCCTAATTTCACCTACTCGTGTTTGAGAAACAAAGTCCATCCCTCGGACCTCCAGCCTCATAGAGAAAAATTCCAATCAGGACGAGTTTTCAAAAGCAGTGGAGGGTCGTATAAGACGGGCTGTCAGAATAGAGAAGCTTGAGGATATGCTTCAAGCGGGCTGGGCCATGGCTTTGATCATTGAGGCCTTCACCATATACCTTGTCTGAATGGCGAGGTCCACACAGCCTTTTACTGGCCTGGTAGAGGTCATGAGCCTGTTGAGATTTGTACGATAGAAGCACTTCAGTCCAAGTTCGGAATGGATGACTTCGACACTCATTCATCGGCTTTCCAACTCCGTCGTTAAAACTGTGTATGGCCTTGGTAGGAATCACGAGCCCGATGCGGTTTATACGACAGAAGCACTTCAGTTCAAGTTTAAAATGAATGACGTGTACAGGCTTGATCCTTCTGCATTACCTTGTTGAGGTTCCGCTGGATAGGTACAATGTGGGAGCGGTGCTCAAGGTAGGGAAAGGGGAATAGTGGTGATAATCTGAGTAACCTTCAGCTTACACGAGTATTCTCACAATCCTACTATATATAACGCGCTAAGTGTGTCTGTTGGTTTGCCTGTGTGTGTGCGTGTGTATGTGTATATGTGTATGTGTATGTGTGTGTGTGGTGTGTGTGTGTGTTAGACCGGAAATTCATAACTACTATCCCCTCAGATCGAAAGCGTTCAAATTTGGTAGGAGTACCGGTGGCAGGATGGGAACACTTATGATGGATCGCAAGACCGTACTTCACCCACCTGGGGCAGGGTTTGTGCGAAATAAATGTTTGAGCGGAAAGTCATAATCTGTGTCCCCGTGGACCTAAAGCACTCAAACTTAGCAGGAGAACAGGCGGCAGGATGGGAACACCTATGGTGGGTGACAGGATCGAACTCCGCTCACAAGGGGCGGGGTTTATGCGAAAAAATCCCAACTTGTACTTAGAGCGCTCATATTCGATAGAAATAAGGCGGCTGGTTGGCACCTATGTCGGGCGGCGGACTTAATCCGCTCACAGAAGACAATGCGTGGGAAAAAAAGTTAATTTAGATTTTAAGTGAAATTTTGGAACCAAGTTTGAATAAGTCGGAAATAAATCGAATTACGCAGAACCTAAGGAGGTTTGTTCATGGCGGACGGGGTGCGCACGAATTGCGTTGGGTGTTTGTGTTTGGCCGGAAGTGAATAACTTCTGTCTCATCTGCCGAAGCCTCCAAATTTGAAAAAGGTGTAGGCGGGGAGCCTATTTTAGTACGAGGAGGAGGGGAGCCTGGCGTCAGCAGGGCGAGCCGACTGGTGTGTTGCATCAGCCGAATGTAAAAAATGCCTATGGGAGTCGAAATTAGAGGCTTCTTGCGATTCTGCGCATTTTCCCTCTGAAAAAGCTGTTCTTCAAGGGCAATTGAAGAAGAGTGGAGCAAGTTTGGGTTGACTGGAAATTCAGTAACGCACTATTGTAGCAAAATGCTGATATTTTCAAGGGTATCGCTTTCTCAATACAATTTAACACGGAATTGACAGATACCATTTTTGCTGATCCGCCTTTTCCCGATCCTGAAAGGATAGGATAGACCCATGAGTTTATTCTACCAAGCATCTCAACACCCTGCGATACCTTCGAAGTCAACATAATCGTCACTCGATCCCAGATTGATTGAAGTAGCGTACCCTCTTGATTCCCAGGAATCGCTAGAGGTCCGTATTGTGCTCTCTCCCGGAACGGCCTTTCCAAGCACATACTATCTGTCGCGATGTTTATAAAAGCTTTCCCAAGAAATCGGTCTATTGGGAGACGCATACGTGCGCGCTCGGAACGATAGGGGTCCAGTCGGTTGTAAAATCAAATTCCGAAATTTTTTCTGCTGTCGTTTATGCTTAGGTCGTGCCATTTGCCCTTTTATTTTATTATTTATATTTATTTATTCGGTGCACGCTTAGGTGCGCTTGCATCAAGGAACCTACAGTAGCGCTCAAAAGTCTTCGGTGGAATGCTTTGGCGCTTTTTCGTTCATAACTTTTTTCTTAGTAGACCAAATGACACGAATTTTGGATATGTTTAACTAGAGCATATTTCACCCTACCCATCCCTATTTGGCTGCAAAGCTGCAATATTCACAGATAGAGTAAAGTGTTTGTTGTGGTAGCAGATTTTGCTAAAACTAAAGTTGTT